TAATTGGAGAACTCCCAGTTGGTATCACTAGAGATCCTTATTTACTCACTGAAGAGCATTTACTTCAACTACTGTATTCTCTAAACTTAAATATCTGCCCTAATAAAATCTAATCCTACTGCCACGGTGAGCAGTCTCCTGGCCTGAATGGGTCAGTCTCCCAGGATCCTTTGCAGCGCTGCACCAGGGGACCATAAACCTATAGTAAATGTTCATTCTTTTCACAATTAAGTTACTGTGATAAAATTAATGCTGCCTCAATCATAACCAGGTGATAAAATACCATAATTCAAAGTAATTGATGAACTCTTACTGAGCAGCCAGGTCTTGCTTGCCCGCCCACAGGCTGGGCAGCAGAGTGGAGCTGGCGAGGCGATGCCAGGCTGAACCTGTCCTGATTCCTCCTGGAAGGTGGGGAGGGTCCTATCTAAATCCTGGGCGCGCTTATCTGCTTCGGTCTGCTGCTAAGACAGCTTCCATGAACTCTCCTTTTTTGGAACCTCTGATTAAATGACATACTACTGTGTAAAATACAAATTTATATTTATATCTGATGTATTATACATGTTCTATGTGAAATGAAATGCATAATAATTATGAATAAACAAAGAATAAATCCAAAATATTTCTAAGAAACTGAAGGCCTTTGCTTCAAGCATTTTCAGCATGTTCCCTGTTAGGCCAGCAGATGGAGCTGTGAATTGAAACAGGGAATGTAAGCTGCTCTAGGTCAGCCATTAGATGGCACCCTTTTTTTTTTTTAACTGGGGTTATAGTGGAGATTTAATAAAATTGAAGGTATTTACCAACAATTATTTGACACTGGAATTGATTTTGATTTACCTGCATTTATCCAGAATGAACATCTCAATTATTGATTGACTGCATAGACCTGGACCAAATTCTGTTCCATATTTTCTGACTAAGACTGTTTTTCTTAGTCATAGAATGATAATAGTTCCTAATAAGGCAGTAAATAGTGATAACAGTTCATCCCTGGACAGGGAAACCTCACAGTTATCATCAAAACTCTCTAAATGCAGGAATTCTTTAAATGCAGAGCTGAAATATACCGTACTGCTCTCCACAAGCCTCAGAGCAGGGTCATATAATCAGAATTTCCCTAAAAAGTCTTAAAACCTAAGCCTTCCATAATAACAGTCTACTGGGGACTATTATTAGTAATAACAGACTACTGGGTCTTAGCACAGTGCCTGGCTCAGGGTAGGCCCACAAATGTCTTTTGAATAAACAAATTAATGAACACTATTGCTTTTAAAAGATGTGCCCTTGAGAAAGTATCAGTGGTTCATTTTTCTGTGAAACTTCTCAGACGTGGAGATCAAACTGATATGCCTAATGACCTACAGGTAGGGAGAGAGTGTATTTGCATTCTCTCTTTTTAAAGACATGAAGATGAAATATAAAAGAATTCCAAGTATCCATAGTTTAATAGTGCCAATCAAAAAAGAATTTTTCTCCCCCAAATATTTTATTTAGGTAACAATCCTCTAGGGTCAATAAGCAGTGCCATAAAACAAAGAAGTCCACATTCTAGAAACTAAAATAGCACAATCTAGCCCATAAAGCCCAAGTTCTTGAACATACAGTTTAAATAACCTAATTCTGTTGGTCTATGAAAATTTGGATTGATTCATTATGACTCTTCTAAATCAAAGAGTATTCATATTTTCAAATACCTTAAAACTTTACTATGCAGTTTATGGCCTACATTACTAAATTCTGGAAACATCAGTTATCAATGCCATGCAGTCAATGTAAAGTGCTAAAGACCATCATTTTTATAGAAACTAAAAGGTTAATAACTTTATTATTAAGTATTTCAGGCCCCCCCAAGCGGATTTCATATGTAATCAAGGAAGTTTTGTGAACTCCTAGGCAGCTGTGCTTTATTTTCAGCATAAATTAATAAAAATAAAATCTAGCACTATTTTTTAAAAAGTAATATTACTATTAAAGCAATACATATTTAAGAAACATATAGAAAAGTAAAATAAAAAATTCACTCACACATCCATAATTCATTCACATATTTCTACCAGACACATTTCCTCCCAGTTTTTGCCACTTGTTTTCAAATAACTGCTCTCATATTATAGATAGATATGAATCCTGCTTTCATTTACCATTATATCCTAAGCATTTTTCTACTGAAAATGAAGGCTAAAAGGAGGCCTTCTCTTTAATGCAAAAACAATGGCCAGTCCTATATCAGACTGATGTCAACTGTGATGTTGGGAGATGAGGCCCACATTGAAGACACCGAGTAAAACCTGTCAAGTTATCAAGAACTGTGTGGCTCACATCACAATCAAAACCAGATTCACTTCTTCCTTGCCCTCACTCTGGCCCCTTCCACCTACTCCTTTATTTCCCATCTTAGCTAAGAGAGATAACATTGGAAAAATTCTAGGTTCTGAAGACTATCAGACTTGGGTTCAAATCTTGACCCTGCCAATTACAAGCTGTGTGATCTTGGGCAAGTGACTTAACCTCTCTGAGTTCCAGTTTCCTCATTTATAAAATGGGGGATATTAATATCTGCTTCATAGTTATTGTGGAGATTAAGTAATCTGCTATGTGTAAATTGGTACAATGCCTGAAATGGAAGAGATTTTATAGTGGTCAAAAGCAAAATTGAGGTAACAACAAAAATCATCAAAAATCTTCAGTCATGGGTTTTCTACCTTTTCTAAGTAATCCTCACTTTATCATTATAAACAATGACTAGCCAGCAAAGTTACTTTTTTTTTTTTTTGAGGAAGATTAGCCTTGAGCTAACATCTGTTGCCAATCTTCCTCCTTTTTTCCTTTTTTCTCCCCAAAGCCCCAGTAGATAGTTGTACGTCACAGCTGTGCATCCTTCTAGTTGCTATATGTGGGACATCACCTCAGCATGGCTTGATGAGCGATGAGTAGGTCTGCGCTCAGGATCCAAACCGGCAAACCCTGGGCCGCCAAAGCGGAGGGCGCAAACCTAACCACTACGCCACCGGGCCGGCCCCATAGTTACTTTTAAAATAAAGGTTAATTAGACTAGGAGAAAAGCAACATCTATTTGTCTATCAGTGTATTTTGAGTGAAAAGTACAAAAATGCCTATGTTTAGCTATGATTAAATCAAACCTGAAAAACTCAATAACGCCTATAATAATAATAATAATAATAATAATACCTATTACTCCCCCGCCTTGCAATTTCCCCCTCTCTACTGAATCACTCCCATCAGCATATACACATGCTGTATATTCTCCCAACTTAAAAAAAAAGCAGAAACTCCGTTGACCCCACTCCCTCTTCTAGCTATGACCCCGTTTCTTTCTTTCCTTTACAGCAAAACTCAAGCCTTGCCTATATGTACTGCCTCCCATCTCTCTCCTCCCTTCTCTTTTGGACCCACTCCACTCAGGCTTTCCCCACCCACGACCACCACATGCTAACTCAGTGAACTCAGTTCTCATCTTATGTGACTTATCCCCAGCATACACCTCCTTGAAACGTTTTTTTCACCTGGCGTCCAAGTCACCATTCTCCTGGTTGTCCCCCCCTCCTTGGTAGGGAAATCACCTTTGCTACTTTCTCCTCATTCCCCAACCTCTAAACCCTAGGAGTGCCCAAGAGTGCCTTCCTCAGACCTCTTTTCTCTCTACGTTCACTGTCTTGGTGAGCTCATCTGGTCTCCTGGCTTTAAAAACTATCTATATACTGATGAGTTTCAAATTCATATCTTCACCTTGGACCTCTCCCCTGAATTCCAGACTTCTACATCTAACTGCTTACTTGCTTCTCCACGCGACTATCTAACAGATATCTCAAACTCACAAGTCCCAGACTGAGCTCCCGCCTTACCCTCTAACACCTGCTCCTCTCATGCTGGTCTCTATCCATCTTCCAGCTGCTCAGGCCAAAAGCCTTGGAGATCCTTGACATCTTCTCTCAACTCTTGCACCCAATCTATGACAAATCCTTGTTGGCTCTACTTTCAAAATATATCCAGAACCTCTTCATCAACTCCCTGCTGCCACTTATTCTAAACCACCATCAATTGTCACCTGTCATGAAGAGCCTGGTCCACAGAACTTCCTACCAGTAGTTTAAAAAAGAAGCCAATCATTCCCAATGTATAGCTTTTTAGCTTGGGGTACAAATTATGTACACACACACATATATAGGCTTTTAGGATTTTTTCTAGTAATATGAAAACACATTAATAATTTAAATAATAATTTTAAAATGCTTTAATTATTTTACAAAGATGTTTATATATATGGATGTCAAATGGCACAGAAAGTTGTTCCAAATCAAATAATTTTACTAAACAAGTAGCTAACACCAATTTATATAGAACAAACATTTGCTATGAATAAGTCATTACTTAATTATATTCGAAGTTTTACTACTTTCAAATCTTTAAATTACTTATGATTTACTAGTAATAAGAAGTTACCTAGGGGGCCGGCCCCGTGGCTTAGTGGTTAAGTCCGCGCGCTCCGCTACTGGCGGCCCGGGTTCAGATCCCGGGCACGCACTGACGCACCACTTCTCCAGCCATGCTGAGGCAGCGTCCCACATACAGCAACTAGAAGGATGTGCAACTATGACATACAACTATCTACTGGGGCTTTGGGGGAAAAAAGGAGGAGGATTGGCAATAGATGTTAGCTCACAGCTGGTCTTCCTCAGCAAAAAGAGGAGGATTAGCATGGATGTTAGCTCAGGGCTGATCTTCCTCACAAAAAAAAAAATAAATAAAAAAGAAGTTATCTAGTTGACTGACAAACAATAATGTACAACAAAAATTTCACAATAAAGAAAAAAAAAGAAGTTACCTAGTTATTAGTAAGAATTTAGTCACATTCTCTGTCATCACTTCCCAAGACAGTGAACAAACTATATGCAAATTTGAAAGTCAAGAAGATTTTGACTGCGGAAAGTAGAATGAACATTCCAGATACCAATTACAGGATTGCAGTTACTTACACTGTGAAATCCTAAAGCTTTCCAGACTGCGAAGCTGATCACACCAACCCCACACCATGCGTAAAGTGAGCCCCAACCCAGGGCTCGCAAGGCAAGGGAAGACCCGCTCTCCGGTAAGGCAGCTGTGGCCATACTCCCCTGCAATGAAGACAGAAAGGTTCAGGTAAAAATCATCAGTTCAGAAAGAATAAATATCTGGGGAGTGATTAAAATTAAGGACCCTGTGTAAGCACCATAATACTGGGATGCAGACCAACCCAAGTTCAAATACCAGCTTTGCTACTTCATAACTGCATAACTTAAGTCACACCTTCCACGACTGACAGATACTGAAGTATGCAAGGCACTGGGCCAGGAGCTCTGCTAGGTACTGGAAAGACAAAGGTAAATACAGCAACTTCTTTCTGACACAAGATTTCAGTCTGGAGGAAGACAGATACATAAAAGTTAATTATGATCTAAATGGAAAGTGCAACAACAGAACTATTCATACAGGGCATTATGGGCCCAGAGAAGGAGGACGTTTATTCTACTGTTGCAGGGACGGGTAGCTTTAAGGACAGGCTCCTGGAAAAGGCGAGCTAAATCTAAATTTGAGAGAAGACGTGTGATATAATTCATTCTGAGGACTTTTACATATATATGCAAAATGCCTGGCACATAGTAGAAATTCAGCTTATGGTAGCTATTAATGAGAAACCAGAAAATAAACAGTGACCTGAGTTTCAACGTACAATATTAAGGTAAAAATCTACAATTATAATAATTGACCAGCTTTCAGACTATCAGCATACGAACTTGACCAGAGAAGAATAAGAATGCAATGCACGCTTCGAAAAGGAATAACCACCCCATCACTGAAGCACTGAGGTGGGGGTGGCAGGGCGGGGGGGCGGGAGGGGTGGCTGTAAAAAGATAGATACTGGGAGGAATGGTGTACTAGACTTCTAAAGTTTCTTTCAAGTCTATGATTTGGTAATTTAAAATGTAAGCTGGTAGTAAGTTGTTAGTGTATTTTTGTTAAAAACTTAACTCTGGGGCTGGCCCGGTGGCGTAGCGGGTAAGTTCACGTGCTCTGCTTTCAGCGGCCTGGGGTTCGCAGGTTTAGATCCCGGGCACAGACCGACACACTGCTTGTCAAGCCATGCTGTGGTGGCGTCCCATATAAAGTAGAGGGAGATGGGCACAGATGTTAGCCCAGGGGTGATCTTCCTCAGCAAAAAGAGGACGATTGGCAACAGATGTTAGCTCAGGGCTAATCTTCCTCACACACACACACAAAAATTTAACTCTGAAGTAGAAAATCAAAGACACTTCTCCACAACGCTGGTCAGATGCTCATTAGAGGACAATATCTAGGGTTAGCATCCATAAGGTAGATTAGAAGGAGCTCATAATAAGAAAGACAACAAAATAGTAAAAGTCTGACAAGCACGAAGGGACTTAAATAAATTTTTTTTAAGTATGGTGATATTTTATGGATGTGGTGAGCTATTTTTCTTTATCTGTTGTTTTATGAATAAAACTGCACAAGTGGGATTCATACTCTAAATGTTTCTATTTACTGGTAATATAATGATTAAGTTATACTGATCAGAAGGACTAAAGCTAAACATTTCCTTTTACACTGTTACGTGACCACTAATGTTATTTTTAAATAGATTAATCTTTAAGTTAGATTGCAGGACTACAATCTCCCAGAGACTCTACATTTCCAAATACTGTATCATAGTTAACAACTTATATATCTCTACTGCTCCCTTCTTATATGACAAGCACTGTTCTAAGCATTCTACATGTATTAATTCATTTAACCTCACTCTGTGAGACAGGTACTATTATTATCCCCATTTCACTAATGACAAAACGCATGCAGAGAGAGATTAAGTAACTTGCTCAAGGTGTCACAGCCCGTAAAAGCTGGAGCACTTCATGGGGCCGGCCCTGTGGCTTGGTGGTTAAGTGCGCGCGCTGCGATGCTGGTGGCCCGGGTTCGGATCCCGGGTGCGCATCGAGGCACCACTTCTCCGTTCAT